GTCAGATTTGTGTCAAATCTCCAAGCGACTTCTTCTAAATAACCAAAAGGCCCAGGGTACTGATATTGGGCCTGTAGCATGCTGGGATGAAGGGCTACCAAGTTTGTTCAAATGAATGACCTTGACCCACTTTCAAGGTCACTGGTGTCAGATGTCTTTAAAATCTTCAAACAACTTCTTCTCAATAACCAAAATGCCCAGGGTACTGATATTAGGCCTGTAGCATGCTGGGATGAAGCGCTACCAAGTTTGTTCAAATAAATGACCTTGACCCACTCTCAAGGTCACTGGTGTCAGATGTCTTTAAAAGAATGCTAGTTAAGTTATTTTATTTTTATCTGGAAATTAATTGCAAGCTACATTTCGAAAACATTTAGACTTTATAGCAGGTTACATTCCGCAGAAAATCAGATTGATCTCTTCGAGTGTGATTCATGCAGTAAGCTGTCTGTAATCAACACATCTAAAAACACCTACGGCAACTATCTGTACAGCTGTGAAATCAAGTACAAGGAATTAAGTAAATCATTTGATGTCCAGACATACAAGAAAACCCTCATAATGTTATGAGTGTGGTAAAGGTTTAAGTGGTCGGTCACATAGCATACAGGCATATCCTTTATGAGGTATTTTACTAGAGAAACCTTAGACATGTGTTTTCTACTTTGTAATATCTTTTAAATTTAAAGACTGATTTAGGACACAAACATGAGTAAAAAATGTTTTGTAAAGTGATTGGCCAAAGTGGTTGTCCAATAGGCACTTTTAGACCATATCAATAATCACATCGACAGGTACAAAAGTTCAAATAACAAATATGGATTGAAATGCACAATAATGACTAAATATGTCCATAGTGTTCAGTATTCATAAGCATCACTTCAGAGATGGGGAACTTGTTCTCCGCTGCCGAAGGAAGAGACATTCATTTCAAAATGGGGAGCTTGTTCTCCGCTGCCGAAGGAAGAGACATTCATTTCAAAACTATCTTTTAATTACATGATAGGCACATTTCAAGCTTTGGAAATGACTAAAAAAATAACAACTAAATGGATGAGGCAAGAGAGGCAGCGATTGCGAGTCGGTTTAAGTTTCTGACCATGACGGTAAATAAAACAAACTTTATCATATATCTTAAGTATTATTATAAGTTGTCGGTTGTACAACTTTTGTGTTGTTTGTATTGAATTATTTAGAAAGTTAAGCGTTTATTATATTATTACAAAACCATAGATTGTCCGGATGGTAAGTTAACATAGGTATTTTATTGCTGAACATTGAGCACTGATCCATGTTTTACACTTAAATTTGTTCAAAGATACTGTCATGAATCCTGGATTTTGTATTTGGTACTGTGCTAATTATCGCAATATTCTTAAATGTTGTAGATTTCTTTTATCAGGAATAATGTAAAATTTCCGACTCGCAAAGATCCTTGAAGATATATACTACCAATATTTTCATATAAAACCAATGTCTGCTAATACAAAGTATTTATCTAATAAAAACACTTTTACAATTTAGTGTTTTTTCCTGTTTTTGAGTTTATACATGCACCTTTAGCTTGGCACCAATGTCTTGCTTTTACTGATACTATACTTGTTGATAAATCACAAAAGTGATCATGTTTAAGCAATGTTGAAATATATGGGTAGATAATGATGGGAGAATCGGAGAAACGAAGAAATCGATTCAGTTTTGCTGTAGATTATCTTAAATGATGGAACTATCTCCAGTTTAATGAAACAAAGACATGAACACTTTTATCATGGCTTATGGATTTCTGTTCCAATGCAGGCAAAGGGACCAGGATACTTCTGTCGACTACGTAGCTCCGCCGGATGGAGCAACCTTAGAGTGATCGGACGCCCATGTTTTGAATCCTGGTCACCGGCACTGCATTTATACTCTCAAACGTTAATATCTTTTTCTGGTCTATTACATCTTCCATTTTTCTTGAAAGTCGAGCAAGTTATGACTCTCCTTCCCAAGTTGATTTATCGAAGCTGTACTCGTAGCTGAACAAAAATCGATGCATATATCCTTTAGTTCCGATCTTCAGTGTTTATTAAAAATTAAACATGTTCCTAGCTGTTAAATAGTCAACACAAAGTTTACCCCACTCAAAACATTCCCCTCCCCGGATAGTGTTTCATCTGCCTGTTAACAAATAACGAGCGATTTCTTATGAATTTCTGAAAAAGCAGCTGGTCATCCTATGTAATTTGTATTTTCCAAAATACAATGAGTCATATTGATTAATGTGACTATTTGACTTGTAATTTACTTGGTAAACAAAAATAAAATACTATTAGTATTGGAGTACAAAGTTAAGCAAAATTCATCTCTGGAGATAAACATTTTCTCAACTTTACAGTAATTAATGTTTCAATGTTAAAAATGCGATCAAGTATTTATTGATGTTTTCGTAAGTTAAATACTGTACTACAAATCTAAAATAACAATTATAGATATAAGCAAAGACGAGACTGTTCATAAATCAGGCCAGCAGAAGTGCCAAAGGGTCAAACAGGCTCTCCAAACACTTTACCTTTATGATCGATACTTCATGACTACCAACATGTCATATAAGATATACAATTATATTACCTAGAGGGACACACAGGCCCAAACAGGCCTATGCTTCTTTAAACATCAATGGAAGTATCCGTTAAACTGCTTAAAATATTTGACAGTCATGACTTTGGTATGACTTTGCGCATTGTAACTTAAGCCCCTCCTGATAAGAAATTACATATACAATTTACATGATGATATACAATGTAATGCGATAAATATTCAATATCTCGTCTTTTTCATATGCTGCATATCATATCTAGTTCATTATTATGATCCTACATCAATTAAAAAGGGTGTGAATCAACCCCATACATACTTAAATTATCACACGATACGTATGGAGGCATATTTATCGCTGCATATGAGGGTGAATACTCAGGTAAAGATTACAATCAGGTTAACAAATTACTGCCATCGGCAATATTATGATACTAAATTTAAGTCAGTGACCTAATTAGGTAAAACAACAGTTCTAAGCAAATTTTGAACTCGATGACAATTTTTGATAATGTAGGTCAAACTTTCAGAAATAGGTCAAATTACCCAGTCAAACAACAGTTCTTAGTTAATTTCTGAACCCAATGACAATTTTAAATCATATAGTTCAATTTTTAAAAGTAGGTCACAGTGACCTAATTAGATGAAACAACAGTTCTGATTTCAGGTTTGAACCCGATGGCAATATTAACAATGTAGGTCATTTTTTCAAAAGTAAGTCCAATTTACCTTATTAGGTGAAAAATCAATTCTAAGTTCATTTCTGAACCCAATGACAATACTCAAGAAGAAGTAGAAAACGACTTGAGAGGTTTCGAACAATTTTCTCATCACTCGCACGTAGATAAAACCTGCGGTGGCCTCTCGATTGTATCCACGTGCTCGTGATGAGAAAATTAATCTCACGACAAACCCTAAAAATACAGTGTGATAATCTATAATTATGACGTTGTTGTTCGAGCTACAGGTAAATATACGGGTAAACCTATCTTTGAAACAACGTTACAGATATCTAACACTTGGTCTAACCTGTACCCTATTATCACAGGTGATTTAGATACAGTGAAAGTAAAACAATAGGATCAGGTAGGAACAAAGCAAAGACCAAGTACGCTTTGAACATTGTCCTGTTTCTAGCCGTCTCGATTGACTGCACCTCTGGTGACATTATGTTTTTAACTAAAGCGTACACACTGCACATGCTATTGTTACACCTGTCGGCTAGTCGATCGCCTCATTGTCTCAGATTGCTTACGGCAAATCTTATCTATAATGTGGTGGGCAGAGGTCCTTTCGGCTTATGACATGCGATGATACGGCCGCCTAATATGGCTATAATTATAAAAGGAATATATATGCAATTTCTTTGAAAATATATCAATGAATGATCAGTGTAAGTTTCAACAAATGGTATTACATCTGAAATATATTGAGGAAATGGCGTTCTGTTCATTATATCAAAATTAATCACCAGCTATATTTTCTGAGTACGGAGATACCCTGAACTCTTTTTGAAATCAATGTTATAAGAAAAGTAATCTGCTACAAATGTATGGTAGAAATATTAATGTATGATTTGCGATTATGTTGCGGGAATCTTACATGAATAGATCAGTTATTTCCATTCAATATTTCATACTTCTAGTTAACTTATGTGGTGACAATATTAACTAATGCTACGGATGTAGATTGGAACTGTACATTCTCTTACTTACAGGTATGTATCCGAAACAATCATAGAATCGATTTTATATCTTATTAATATTTCAGCATATATATTGTATAACAACATGTCACATCAGACTCATTGTATAGTGTAACACAACACAAGTGACAAGGGTTGATGGTTGTTTAAAAGTTTATTCTGGTAACCATTAGTATTTGGATCGGTCTCTATCGTTTGGTCTCGCTCTCAGTCGTCTCCGAGCTGTCTCTTGCTGTACTAGCTCTAGCCCATCTCTAGCCGTCCCTGGCCCTTCTGGCCTTTTCTCTAGCCGTCCCTAGCCCTTCTGGCCTCTTCTCTAACCGTCCCTAGCCTTTCTAACCCCTTCTTTAGCCATCCCTTGCTCTTCTCTCTAGGTTATATTTATACTCGATTATAATCTATTGGTACGTGCATAGATGGTCAGTTGAGACTTTAAGATCATATCTATGTAATCCTTGATTCACCAGCTATTCCCGATATACGTAATCAATTACACGTCGTAACACTGACTGTGTCACAATAGCCCTGAAGCGTTACACTTAATTCGGTCGACACATTTTGCCTGTCAGTACTTTTATGGCTTTACCTGTCATTAATATAATATATATGACAGATATATATATATAACCACAGTAATGCACGCTCAGTTTTGCTTCGAGTCCTGTAGTGTATGTTCAAACGCTACGTGCAGATTATCAGGAGCTCGTTCTGGTCTGTTATCATGTAATAGAGGTAGGCATTTTTTTGAATTTTTTATATTAATGTTATTACTAAATAAAAAATTATTTAAAGCTTTCATGAACAGAAGTGATAATTGTGTTTTTACTTGGAATGAATTGTAATAATTATTTTAATATCATATGTTTACTTAAATATGTATGTTGAGAAGTTGTCAATTATTATAAAAAAGATATTAATGTTATGGATATGTGCTACATAAAGATAATATGCGTATTCCTTTTCTAAACCATTCTATTGTAGTTTCATACTGTTTAATGTATAGATTGTATTATTACGGGGAAACTATTGAACTGCCTGTACGTTTGAACTGTTATAGCGTTACAAAGGATCAATGATCAGAATGGTCAACTCATTAGTATGACCATACCATGATGTCCGAGTTGTACATGTCTAAACATTTACCAATGAAATAGTGTTAAGCTGAAACAAGATGTACATTGCGGTTATTTTCAGTGATAGCTATTTAAGAAAGTTGCTTTTTGAAATTCTACATCCGATATAACATTTCAAAAAGCCATTCCCTTAATTGATCAACTGTAGTCATTTGATGTAAATTAAGAATAGAAGATAAACCGCGACATATTCACGTCTTTGTGACGTCATCGGTATTATCACAAATATTTCAATGTAAACATACATTCAGACCTATGTTGATATTAAAATGGCGTTTTATGGCTTTGACATCTAATAAACTGTAAAATTAACGTGAATAACGGTGGATGCTAAAGAAAGAGAAATTAGCACTCTTCATATAATTTCTCATCTAATTTTCCTTTTCCTCACCTTTCAGATGAGGCAGGTAGCAGGTCTTCGATCTCTGACATGATTGATGGTTAAGGGGGAAATATGTATAGGAGCTAAGAAAAAGACACAATTCAATAGCAGAGAAGATATACAAACCAAAATAGGAATGAAAAAAATAACCTCTAAAAAGTGATCCAGTGTGTAAGGATATTTTCTGATTAAACAAAGCAAAGTCCTGGCTTTGATGACAAAAACAAGACATAACTCTTTGTAAAGTGATGTGTGTTTTAAAGAATATAGTCAGTTGCTTAAGTTACGCATACATACCAGTTCATAAAGGAGAGAAAGTGTGATATCTGTAGCAAGGAATTTAATCCATCATCTTACCTACGAACACATATCAGGACACATACATGAGAGGAAACATATCAAATATATAAGATCACTTACAGAAATATGTTCATACGTATATGAAATATATGAAAGATATGCCTTACACGTGCAATATCTGTAATAAGGGCTTTAGTCACTTATCTAGCCGACGAGAACATAGCAGGATACATACAGGAGAAAAACCCTACAAGTGTGATGTCTGTGGTAAGACATTTAGACAATCAGATGCCCTAAGACAACATACCAGGACACATACAGGAGAGAAACCTTACCAGTGTGAAATCTGTAGTAAGAAATTTAGTCAATCATCTAACCTACAAAGACATATCAGGATACATACAGGAGATAAACCTTACCAGTGTGATGTCTGTAGCAAAACATTTAAGAGGTTAAACAACGTACAAAGACATCTGAAGATACATACAGGGGACAATCTTTACAAGTGTGATATTTGTGGTATAGGAATCGGTTCCCAATCTCTTTTACGAAACCATATCAGAACACATACGGGAGAGAAGCCCTTCAAATGTGATATATGTAGTAAGGAATTTAGTCAATCTCACTTACGAAGGCATATCAGGACACATACGGGAGAGAAGCCTTTTAAATGTGACATATGTAGTAAGGAGTCTGGTGACTCATCTAACCTGCGAAAACATATTTTGACACATACAGGAGAGAAACCAAACAAGTGTGATATTTGTAGTAAAAGATTTATCACGTTAACGCACTTAAAAAGACATATAAAGACACATGCCGAAGAAAATCCCTACAAGTGTGATGTCTGTGGTAAGTCATTTAGAGAATCTCATGCCCTAAGACAACATACCAGGACACATACAGGAGAGAAACCTTACCAGTGTGAAATCTGTAGTAAGAAATTTAATCGATCATCTAACCTACAAAGACATATCAGGATACATACAGGAGAGAAACCTTACCAGTGTGATGTCTGTAGTAAGAAATTTAGCCGGGGGGCTAACCTGCGAAAACATATTTTGACACATACAGCAGCGAAACCCTACAAGTGTGATATTTGTAGTAAAAGATTTATCACGTTAAAGCACTTAAAAACACACATCAAGACACATGCCGAAGAAAAACCTTACAAGTGTGATATCTGTAGTAAGAAATTTAGTCGATCATCTAACCTACAAACACATACCAGGACACATACAGGAGAGAAACCTTACCAGTGTGATATATGTAGTAAGGCATTTAGCCGGGGGGCTAACCTGCGAAACCATATTTTGACACATACAGGAGAGAAACCATACAAGTGTGATGTTTGTAGTAAAAGATTTATCAAGTTAACGCACTTAAAAAGACATATAAAGACACATGCCGAAGAAAAACCTTACAAGTGTGATATCTGTAGTAACACATTTAATACGGCAGCTAGCCTGCAAAGACATCTTAAGACGCATACTGGGGAAAAGTCTTACACGTGTAATACCTGTTGTAAGAAATTTAGTAAATTCTCTAGCCTTAGAACACATATCAGAAAACATACAAGAAACAAACTTTACAGGAGTGATGTAGACAATAGTATGGTTAGTGTTAATAGTAGCCTACAGGGACACTTCAACACACACGCAAGGCAGGATGTTGAAAGCAGCGATACATCTGAGACAACGTTCGAATGTTGGCAGCAACAAAGCCAGTTCAAATCGAAAACTGGAGAACAGTATTTAAACCAAAGCGTACGTGACAACTTGGACGAGAGGCTAATTGACACAGGTGCCACTACCGGTGTTAGTGAGATTACTAGTGTTAGTGGGACATCTGAAGACAGCAAAGCTAGTGTTCCTTTGACTACTGGTGTTCGTTGGACTTCTGAAGACACTAAAACCACGGATGTTAATGGAACTATTGGTGCTAGTGAGACTACTGGTGTTATCATGACTACTGAAGACGGTAAAACTACAGGTTTAAGTAAGACAGCTTTGGAGGCTGATATAATATACCGTGGAATGAGGTTGTCAAAGACAGATGATTGTGCACAAGTATTTACGTACAGCGTGCAAAATATACTACAAGATTATTATAAGACATATTAAATTTAGAATGCATGCCCTTGATACAAGGATTACACCAATGAGAGCTTGGTAAAACACTACAATGATAACGTACATGTAATATAAATAGAATGCATTATATTAGTGATTATCTTTTTAACAAAAAGTCAGGGATGATAGAAAACAATTTCTTTCAAGGGGAATATGGTATTTGTGCAAAACTGTTATAGAATGGTGAATTAAACATGTCTGTATATGTTGTTTGTTTGTGGTAGTAAGGGATCCTCCTTGGAACGATCTTTTTCGTTTGATAATGAGAGATGTTTTTGTCAAAATATGTCAGCTTTCATCATTTTATACATATCGTGATTTTATTCACTCTCCGGACTCAATAGAAAGTACGTTATCTCAATGTAAATACATGTACTTGAAAAGATCTAAGCTGTACCCTTAAATGGAAGTAGTATGCGAAAATACACATTAAATAAAGCGTTTAATTATGAGTCCAGGTATATACTACTCTGTCTTATTTAGGATCATTTGTGGTTTTAACAATAGTGCCTCTACATAAAGTATATGATATATCATTGAGTTTTGATACTGCGTGTTTACATATTAAAACGTTTCAATACATGTTTTTTATATCAATAAGTACATAATAATGTACGTTCAGGTTGCAAAATGGGAAAGCTGATGAATGAATAACTATCGTGATTAAGAAATAATACTATGTACTAAATATATTGATTTTCACTTTCATGGTGGGTTCAAATGTGGTTACAAGAATACAAATCCGGATTCCAACAAAATATTTACTTATACACAGTTATTAAAGTTGACTGTTCTTACAGGTAAATTTTACCTGTCGGAACCCAAGTACTAGAAAAACGTATTTTTAAAATCATTTCTAAAACAGTACCAATAGCATCACCACTTATCAATACTTAAGGCAAGATATTTTGATATCCTACAAAAAAAAAAAGAATGCTGTTGGTCCCCTATGGGTTGATCCCGCGGATAGGTTGCTATAGTTTTGGTCCGTCTGTAAGTCTGTACGTCCGTTATATCTGGTAAATGTTTATTCGTTATTAGACTAAACAACATTTGTAATTGGTAGGTTTATCTAAGGTTTGTACAAAGAACATACAAATAATGTATATCGGGAAACTTTCGACTAGTCAAATATTTGCCCTTCGTCGGTTATAATTCATATTCATTAAGTGTGTGTTTGTTAATTTTTCTCTTACTTTTAGGTATGTATTTGAAACAATTACAGAATTTTTTTTGGAGTGTATAATAATTTTAACATATGTATTGTATTTCAACATTTGTCACATTAGACTATGTTTTAGCCCTGAATCGTTGCACTTAATTCCGTGGACACATTTTGCCCAAACGTATTTTTGACAACGAGATACCGGTTTTATCTGTAATTACGATACTATCAATGGCAGATACATATATATATATCCAATGGAAAACACATTGAGTTTTGCTTCGAGTCCTGTAGTTTATGGTCAAACGCTTCGCCCAGATTTTCAGAAGCTCATTCTGGACCGTTAATTATCGTTGAACAGAATTAGACATTTGTCTGTATTTTATATATCAATGGTAGTACTTAATAGTGAATTATTTAAAATCTTTAAATATATGAACTGTACTAATTATTGTGTTATAATTTTGAATTAATCATATTATTGATATCAGTATCATATGCTTACTCGAAGAATTTGTAAATTATTATGATACACAATGTGATTGTTATGGATATGTGCAGCATGGGTATAATATGCATATTCCTATTTCTTAATCAACTGAAACAAACATATATTTCATATGTTTCAAAAAACAAACCAAAAGGTGTTTTAATCAAACGTTGACGGTTTTAATTTGAATCAGTTGAAATTAATACAAATATATAATTATTCAAGGGAAATAACCTTGGCATAAATCTTCAGTATTTTGTTTAATTTAATTAATAATAGATACAATTCATATTAAGTAATTAAATAATAAAGTAATTCTTACTAATAGGTAGAGTACCAGTGTTTAATTTAATCAATTGCTGATTAGGTATCAGCACAAAATAATTAAAATATTGTTTTACTTTAAATATATCACATTCGACATATCATGAGATTCACACGTTTAAGTATTTCTTTTATGTGCCGAATTAAATTGTGTTCTTAAATAAGGCATATTTACATTTGAGTTATCAGCCAGAATTATAACAACAGAATAACGATAAGATGATAACGATATCGAAAGTTTCACATCGCATATATAAACAAACCCGCCTGAATTTTGTCGGTATAAGACACATACTGACTGAGTTGTAAGTCATTGTGTTTCACGACTTTGTCCTGATTATACTTAACCCATGGGGAGAAAAACACATGAACTGACGACACAGTATGTCTGTTACCTATCTAGGTATCACCACTGACTATACTGTATAACAGGATATGTTCGCCGCAATATATCTTTCGCTTTTATCACCCTCCTTATTTAGGGATACTTTCTAGTTACATCGCATGTGTATAAGCTACATACAGTATTACGAGGGAGAAATCAACACTTACTAAGCAAATACAGATTTCATCAATGAAGCGCGAACACATTAGTGAAAGAAAACAGGTTTTATGTTCTAGGGTGTTATACTCGAGCTTACGTACAGATAATCACAACATCCGACAAGTTTGAACTACGAGTATAATCGCTATGATAATATGTAGCTGGTCGGCCAGTTACAATGTCACTTGTCTTTAGGCTTATAATAATGGAATATGTATACTTAACCGTATAAATCCAACACTTCTATAGCAGAGGAATAAAATTATTCGCATATGATCAAACATCTTTCATAATAATACAGCATTCAATATGATAATATAATTTGTATAGTACAGTTAAACCCCGCTTACTCGATTTCGTGGAGTCCAGATCAATAGTCCGGGGAATATATAGTATTTGACAAATCCGAATTTCGTCCAAGATCGTCAATTTGTTTTATCAGGTGGGGCAACAGACAGCACGCGCACTGCGAATATCGTGGAAAGTATATGATAGATGTCAAAGTTCAATAAAACATTCCAAATTAATAAGATATAAAAAAAACTGAAATTTTAAAACATATAGCCATCGGTATTAAGAAAGTAAAAATAAATAAATATATATATGTGTAACGTTTTGACATAGTTCGCCATGCTATATTCCGCTACGTTAATTTTACAAAATATTTAAACAAGATAAACTCTTAAATTATTTTAAAACGACGGAAATATTAATCCTTGTCAATATACAATTGATGAATAACGAAATTAACAATCGCAACGTATTCAAGTTTGAATATCTTTAAAGATAATCGGGAGCGCGCTACGTGATTTCCGCTTTATATTGCACATACCCAGTAAATAGAACATTCCGCTAAATCATCGATGTCAAAACATCGTATTGTAATAATAAATATGCAGATCAAATGACAACGCAGCAACAACAGGTTGACGTAACAGGTAATTAATGATACTGCCGTTATTCCTTTCTTTAATTGTCTGACTACCGGCCGTCACCTGTATAAGCACAATGAGCGTGGACCAGTCTTTGCCTCGAGGCATGCCGATGACACGCAGTTTTGCATGCAGATGTGTCTACCTGTTTGACGAATGAAAAGGTTAAATACAAAGGTTTTGAATGGTCAGAGATAAATCAGAGTTCGAGGAATACGGGGTATTCGAGCAATGGCAGTTTGAGTAATCCGAGGTTAGTTTTAAGAATATATAAGAACACTGTCGAAGCCAAGTGAACGATTCTTACCTAAAGATACCAAATATTATGGGCTACATCTACTTAAAGACATCCAATAAACATAATATTATCTCGTTTGGTTGTCGGCTTGGTTAAGGCATCTAAGTCATAAAAATAATGGCGTGATCTTAATGATTTAACAATCTAGAGACATTTCTCCTTAAAATTATTCAAAAGTATGTCAGTATGTTAATATGCCATAATCTGACGCCACTTTGAATGCATGTTTCATATATAACTATCAATTAATTATCAGTCGTTTGGATTGTTTACATAAAACATTCTATAAACATCGGTTAACAATGATGTCTAGATTATAATGTCTTAACAGGTAAACTGGAATGTTTTATATAGACATTATCTGTATCAGTCTATATATAAAAAAATATCTGTACTTACTAATTATGTACCATTTCCATCCACTAATAAACATATAAATTGCAATAAAAAAATAAGCTTAATTATAATCTATTAATTCATTAAACCAGAATGCAATTTATTCAACTTTATTTTTTTCTTTAATGTGCATAATATTAAAATTGGTGAAAATATCTGACGTGGAACAGGCCAAGGTTTTTCGACCTTACATCTTATGCAAGGTTAAGAAGAGGATACTACAAATAATAGACATCACAACAACACCCATAGGTACTATTTACCTTAAACAACCGTTGTCGATTTTAAGCTGCATGCACTGGTAAGGAAGATTTGAAAGCCAATATAAAATTCTTCAAAGGCGATAACCCTGACATTAATGTTCAGTATTATGTTAAAGGTTGTCAATAGTAAAAAATGAATAAAAAGATAATAATTAATTAATTCATTAAGT